TCAGTGTGTGTAAACTCTAGGGCCCTTCCTCTCTCATTTGGCTGCCTGGCTTGACTGCTGCTGCACATTCTGTTTGGGGGTTTGTCCCCAATCACTAACAAAGTGTCAAATTTTCTTCCTAACTGGAAAGAGTTAATCCAAAGAACAAGTCTGACAGAGTCCTGTTAGTAGTCCTTAAGAATGATGTTAAAATTACAACATAAAAATTCCACCAGAAATATTCTTTCAAATGAGAAACCTATGCATACATAATCTAAAATGACAATATTTTTTCATAGTTTTTGGTGCAAAGAGCAGCATGCTGTCTATTTTGTGAAATCAGGGCAGTCTGTATATATTTATATTATTTTGGTACTTGTGGGCTAAGCTTCTTAACAGTGTGAGAAATTACTCTTAAAAAGAAATTATAAAAGCTCAGATGCAAGGAAGTATTTTAGACCACTTTGCATGTGATAATGAACACTAATTCCTCTTAGCTTCAACAGGCCTCATGACTTCGAATAGAACCTTCTTGCTCATTGGTAAATTTCCTTTTAATAATTAGTATATTAAGTATACATTAGGCATACATATACTGTATAACACATACTCTAATCCAGGCGTTGGCAACCCGCGGCTCCATCTTTCAGCGCTCTGTTGAGGGACCCTATCCCATCACTGGCTAGCCACACCCCTTGCTCTCCCCTCCCTTGGCTAGCCTGAGAAGGTAAGGACAATGGCAGGAGATGGAGAAGCAGCCAGGGCTGATTCTCCAGCACCTCACTCTTGCTGGAGCTTCTTCTGGCCCTTGTTGGTGCTGGGCATGTCTCAGTCACTTGGGGAGACATGCAACCTGCTCTCCACCCCGATATACTGGCCCAACCCAGCCACAACTGATGCCAGCTTCGTTAACATGAGGGCTGGCAGGGTGGGAAGGGGATCTGGGAGAAGGGGATGATGGAAAGTGGGGTGGGCCCGCAGCACCCAGCCATGGCTTTAAGAATCTCAGAGCAAGGATAGGCTAGTAAAGTAGAGGATAAAATATAAAATTTTCAACAAACAATGACTAAGAATGAGCAATATACCCGGAAAGTGGAAGAGAAGGCTGAACAAACAGAGAAAAGTGTGGAAGAGGTCAATTATAGACTCACACTGGCAGACAAAAATCAGGAGAGAGCAATAATACTATTAGAGATGGAAGGCTGAGTATTATTTATGCTTTCAGAACATTGAAGAAGAAAAGAGAGAAAATTTGGCAGAAATAATGGCAGAGCTGCTGGTAAATGCTTTAGAGAAATCCAAAGAAAAGGTGCTTGCTGAGGTGGATGAAATAATTAAAATCCATACTAGATATGTGACAAGAAACAGACTTCCCAGAGAGGTACATGTGAGATTTACTAAAAAAAGCAATAAGAACAGGGATACTACAAAGAGCAAGGGACGAACCCATAAAATATAAGGAGAAAGAAATAGTGGTTCTAAAACAGATCCCCAGAAGAGTTAAGAGAGATAAGAAGGGAATATCAATTTTTAACAAATCAGTGTGTTAAGAATGGAGTAAATTTTAGATGCCTGATACCAGAGGGAATATTGGTGACTTGGATGGAGCCAAGACACAGATTAGATTCCATAGAAAAAGCAGAACAATTTTATGACTACTATTTTGGATCACAAAAAAAAGTGATAGCAAGAGGGGAAAAGGAGGACAGACAACAAGAGGAAGCTACAGGAGAAAGATATACAACAAAAGAAAGATGAAAGAGAAGCAGAGGAAGTAGCAAAGAGAGAGGGTGCAAAAGCAAAAGAACAGAGACAAGAGTGACAAGAGTGACTAGAACAACAAACCTATTTATAAGTAAATTATGGGAGGAGAAATAAAACTATTGTCAATTAACATAAATTGATTGAATTTGGCTATAAAAAGGAAAAGGACTTTTAGCAAATTAGAAAAATTAAAGCTGGACATAATTTGCATACAAGAGGTACATATTAAAAAACAATACAATTATTGGAATACCCCAAAATTGGGAAATTATATAACCTCCTTATCACAAGAAGAGAAGAGTAGTACTCTATGTAAAATAAATAATAAACGCTAAGAAAATATTTGTGGATGAAGAAGGGAGGATTTTGATGGTGGGGATACCAATGCATCAAAAACAGATACTCCTGGTAGCAATTTATGCACTAAATAGTAAAGAAGAGGACTTTTATAGTAAACTACATAAGAATATAGCAGAATTGGAGTATGAAAATATCTGTGTATTGTTTCATTCAGATTATAGCTAGTAGACGTCTCAAATTTTCCTGACCAGTCCCACACTTTTAGCAATGTGCAAACGACAAACAAGTATTATGAACTCCCTTCTGCCTCTAAAGAGCCTGAAACAGGCAAAGGCTGGATTTGTGTAGTTTTTGAGAGTGGATTATCCCTTTCTTTCATATTCTTCTTCATGTCTGCAGAGTTGTGGTTGCGACATTTTTCACCCTAGTGCAGAGCAGTCCTTACACCTGTTGTATATTCTGTTTCCTGGGTGTGGGTGGAGAAGAAATCTATATTTCTAATTACTTAACGCGAGGGAGAGAGAAACCCGATTGTTATTGCTGTCGCTTTCAAGTGCAAACTCAATACTTTCTTCTCTCCCTTTGCTCGAGATCTACCATCTAATGGATGGAAGGACCCAGTTAAGGAGTCCTGGCGTCTTGGAAAGGCAGGAAAAAACCTGTCCTGCTCCAACCCAATCGGAGGTCTTCAAAGGCAGTCCCCAAAACTCTTGTTAAGAAGAAAGGAAACGGCCCCACCCCTGCAGCTGTAAAATGGAACTCAGGAGCAACTTTCTCCTCCTTGCCCGGCATGCTTCGCCTACCTCTTCGCCCCAAGGACGCCAGGCACAATAACATTTCCCGGCTCACCTCGCTCAGGCCGGCGGCGAAGCCAGATACGATTCCTAGACTCGCGACCAGGCGCTGCTGGAAGCGCGACCTTCGTCCTCCGTCCCCTTCGCTCTCCCTTCTTCTCCGGGGGCGCCCAGCGGTCCGCTGCCCAGCCCTGATCCCTTCCAGCCCTGGCCACGCACCTGGCCGACCTCTCTGCCTCAAAGTGGGACACACACACACTCCGCTCGGGATCGGCTGCGCTGGGAAGGCAGCCGACCGCTTTGAAGGCGAAGGCACAGCGGCAGCCGCCAGGAGGAGGGAACGCGGGCGGGAGGAGGAATTAGAGGTCCGGAAACTCCTTAGAAGTGGCGTGGCGGGAGCGCTGGTCGTTTCAGTTTTCGAATAAAATAGCGAATTGGATGCACTTTCAGAACAAGCCGCGTTCGAATAGCGAGGAAAAAATGGCTTTTCGCCAAGCGTGGCTTTCCCGCCTGGCAACTGATCGCCGGGAGAGCCACGATTGCTTGTCGGTCCTTTCTCCAAACCACAAGACTCCGGCGTGTATTTGATGGAAGTGCATGCCTTAACTTGCTCTGGATTCTGCCCGTGCTAGTTTGTCACGGAAGGTCACTACGGATGAGAACAAGGTTTGGGGTGCCCGAAAGAGCAAAGGGGCTCAGTTGGCGCTGGGACAAAAAAAAGACCCCACCCCCTCCCCTCCCCAAGTTTCAATAAGAGAAGAGTAGCTGGAAAGCAGAGAAATGCCGCTGCCACGTGAGCTTTCTCTTCCTAGAGCTCTTTTCTTCTCTTTGATTTACATCTAGGATCAGCTGTTAGTTGGTGTGAGGCCTCCTTGATGGTCTCTGAGCTTGCTTGAATTCTTGCAGACGGGGTTCGTTACCCAAACTAGGTTAAAACCATCAGTGCAGCACATTACCTAGTTTGGGTAATGAACTATCTGCAAGAATCCAAGCAAGCTCAGAGACCATCAAGGACCCCTCATGTCAACCCTGAGCTACAAATATTTTCCTTTATTACTAGTTGGAGTGTTCTTTAATCCCTTCCTTCACTGCAGAGGAGTGGTGGTGAATTTCTTGTGTGTGTGTGTGTATGTTTTAAGAAAAAGCAACATTTTCTATCCTGTGCTTCGGTATATTAAACTAGAATTTTACAGCATATATGAAATTCCCCTAACTCCTAGCTACAAATAATCATTGGAACTGAAGGCCAGCAAACTCAAAGGTACCTGCTTAGAACAAGAACATTAAACATTCACTTTCTGTACCTTCTGCATCAGTCAACATTTACTCCCATTGTTATAGCAGATGCCTTTATTCTTGGCTTGCATAGAAAGGTTTCGTAGACTTTATTCACTTGGTGATTTATTCATCTCCATACCATGGCAAGACAGTTTTTATAATTTTCTCACTATTTTTACTCCATATACTCTGCTTTCAATAAATGTCGTGGTTTGTTCTGGATATAAAGCACTGTCTCCAGTAGTTGTAACAGTTGAATTCTTCAGCTTCTACTCTGTTGTAGGAACTGAAATGTGCTGTACATAGCAAGGCAGTGTATCTTCAGAATTTGTGGTTGCATTTATTTGTTTTTATTTAGGCAAGATGTACAAATTTAAAAAGAGATAATAGAGTAATTACAGCTATTTTGAAAAATTAACTAACATGAACAAAATGAAGTATGGTGGTTGATCAAACTTCATCCTCATCAATATACAGCTTGTGTATATTTGTAGATATTGTACTCTCTAATTGCAAATGGAGACACGGGTACTCTATTTTTCTTATTTTCATCTTTAAGTGCTTTGGTTTTATTGTATTGAGAACAGTTGCTGGGGTGCATCCACAGTTTCGTTGTACTTGTACAATGACAATAAAGTTCTTCATCTTCTAAATTACCCATTTTAGAGTGTAATTTTTAATAAAGTTCAGAGAAAACTAAGGATTTTACTTTAAGATACTGTGAGTTACCACAAGTATATGTAGTTGCACAAATGATGTGAACTAAATCAGATGAATACGCCAATTTTCCAATTGTTGGATTCAGCTCCATCATTCTCAGCCAATATAGCTAACAGAAATAATACAAGGTGTCTAACATTATTTGGAAGAATAAAGAGATTAGCCCCATCAAATTATGTTACATGACTGAATTTGGCACAATTTTATGAATGCCTTCTTTAAGAAATTGTACCAGCTTGAAGCAGCATGTGTTTTGTGTTCTCCAACCCTTTGTGGTCTGGTGTCCTGAATTGGAAGCAGGATTTGCTGCAACAAGCTCACATGCTTTTATTTTGCTTTTCCCTAATTGTTCACTCATCTGGACTGCCTAATGCTAATATTGTTCAATAACTATTAAAATTTCTGATGTCTTCTTGATCCTGGAACTGTGTTCACATTAAAAATACACA